CACGAGAAGTGCAAAAACGCATAATCGCACCGGCCCGCCTGGTGCGTTCCAGCCTGGGTTTGTGTACATTTTTTGAATTTTTTCTTTATTTTCCGAATTTTTTCGTCCATTTTTCTTTTGGTTCTCTTTAAATTTATGATAAAATTACGGAAATAATTTTTAGGCTTTGCAAGGGGTCACATCCAGTACAACTCGTATGGCAATTTCGAACGAGCGGCAGCCAAAAATTTTGATTAAAATCTCACCAGATTTGCCGGATTCGGATTTGAAAGCAGTTGCGCAAGTTTGTTTTTTGGGATTTTTTTCAAAACTTTTTTTTTTTGATGTTGCAGTCAATGCGTTGTGGTGCTGGCATGGGCGGAGCAGCTTTTTGAAAAGGGATTGGGAGAGAATCGAACCACTCGTCTTCACATTCGGACGTGACATGTTAAACCACTGCGCCATCGACCACTTTGCTCAACGCATCTGCTGGAGCACCTATAATCTGTACGTATGGCATTTCCGTACATACTCTGTATTGTCTGGTTGCTGCGCCCTGTGCGAGTAATTCCTCTTCAATGATTGCCGGATTTTCGTGGGACTTCCGCAGCACACTTCCTCATCCTTTCCGTTCTTCATCGCTCCCCTCTTCCCTCAAATGTACGTTACTTAGTCAATCAGCAAAGGACCTACGCCATTTAGTCCTTACATCCACCTCTTCTAGCCCCACTCCCTTGCCTCGAACGAAATCCGCCATATACCACCAACGCCACTGCATAGTTATTGTAGCCGAAGGTGCATCATTTGGTTTTTCAAGTAATTATTATTAAAAAAACTGAAAAAAACAGGCCGTATTTTAGATGTCGCTTGATAAACGATATGGGATTGATGGTGTAATTATTTCAAATTTCACTGCTCATAGGTCACAAGAGAATACGGGTACTGCAGTTGCAACAACCGATGGTTTTGTAAGTGGAGAACCGCTACGTGATATCAGCACCGAATGCATACGCCATTTTTACAGGCACTTTTTAATTGCGTGAAAAAAATATGGGGAAGAAATTAAAAAGTTGAGTGTGTTGGAGACAACACACACACATACACACACACGCACACACATAAATACACACATATACACACACACGCACACACATACATACACACATACACACACACACACAAAAAGGACATCTCGAAATAGCTAAAACCTTAGTTACTGAGATGATAATTCCCTCAGATGACTAAGCGAAGGCCAGAGCGTCTAGCGGGCTGATTATCAAACTAGTCGTAGTAATTATTCGAGTGAGGGAGCTGCTCAAATTTACGCCCCAGTCTATCCAAATAATTAGTGTTTTGGTAAAATTATCAACTACATATAATGGTGAAATTATCAACTTTATATTGAAATTGAATTCAAAACTAAATTTGAAAGAAAGAAGAGAAAAAATTCTATAAAATTAGACAAAAAAGAAATTTGGCGAAACTTAAAACTTAGAAAAGTTAGTAAAATGGAGTGAAATTTTTCGGACCATAAAATCGAACGATTTTGTTTAAATGCTATAAAAGATCTTAACGAAATTACTGTTTTCACACTCTTGAACTGTTTATTTTTTGTCCAGATTGACAGCTGGCAAAGTTCCAATAATTGGCTGCGGCGGAGTATCATCTGGTCAAGATGCGTACGATAAAATACGTGCCGGTGCAAGCCTCATACAGCTTTATTCGTCATTGCTTTATCAGGGTAACGCATATTAAAGCCACCTGGACAGTTGGTGTGTGTGTGTGTGTGTGTGCGTGTGTGCGTGTGTGTGTGTGTGTGTGTGTGAATTGCATGTAGTAATGTGCGGCAAAGAGTGAGGAGAGGTAGAAGGAAAAAGAAATTTTTGTAGATTTTAGCTCTACTATATGTTTTTTGCTGCCTTTCATTCAAGTTTCATCAAAAAGTTTCGAATTTTTTAAGTGGGAGGAAAGAACGGGGTAAAGGGGGGGCGGGGCGGAGGGGGTCGAAACGAAGGGAGTCAAAACAGCGCCTAACGAAAGGAGTCACTAGAGGTGAAGAGAAAATTTATCTTTTCCTTTTTTAGGCTTTCCTGTTATTGGAAAAATAAAACGAGAATTGGTGGAACTTCTCAATCGTG